TTAAAAACATAAGATGGATTTATTTCATACCGTTACAATTATTTACTGGATTAATATCTGTTGCTTCACAGATCATAAACCTTCCAGCTCCTGCTTATCCCCCATGCACCAATCCACAATCAACCAGAAGCTTCAATGTGTGTATTTACTATGTATCATAAAGAAAATTGTTGCATTTGCACGAACTGGCTCACTGGGAATCCATACAGCACTCCTCTGGGTAATGAGGATCCACATCAGTCCAAAATGGACTGCGAACATATTCTTCTTCCAGCAGATGATAACAGCAACAAACATTGCCCAAGCAGCTGAACTCCTCTTTACTGGAAAATATCCGACAGCAGTCAGGAGCAAGGTCTCCACATGTATGAAGTCCAGCAAGGGCCATCTGCTCGCACGTTTCTGGGTGAAAGTGTTCTTTAACTAAGCTGCAGAGGCTTGTCTGTTGTGTTACAAATTTTGTCACCTGTTTGTATAAAGTCTTGCTTTGTGACTGGGGCTTAGAAGTGGTACCACTTTCAACACTGTTACATCTACCGCCCTCCGAGATCTTCGTACTATTCTGAGACTTCCTGTGTTCCCCCTCCATGGTTGAGAATTACCTTGCAGATCTTATGACAAAGAGAGATATTTTATATTCAAGTATCTGCATCATCTGCAGCGTATTACGCTTGTGTCATGACTAGAACAAGCTACTGTCCAATACAAGAAGTCCATACACATAATTCATGTAACATAATCAATAAACCTTTTACATACCTCCAGCTTCATGGTCCTCTTGACTGCACCATGAGTGTTTACTTGTGAGGAGTCTACTCCAAGAATTCTGAACCCATAATGCAATGCCAGAATGGAAGTCGGATACCCCTTTCCGCCCCCGACATCAACCACGTGAGCAGCTTGAGACACACGAGCTAATGCAGCGACCAACTGACTCATAGCTTCAACTTCATGTATCTTCTTCAGAGTCATGAACTGTTCTATGTGCAGACTCTCCTGACATTCACAGCCCCATTCAACTAGTTTCTTCCGTAGATCTGACACTAAGGTAACTATTCCT